AGGGGGTGTCCCACTGGGTGCCTGGCAAGCCTGGGTGAGGGGCTGATGGCTGTTTGCAGGCTGGTCAAGTCCCCTAGAGTGGACCCTCACCCCATGGGGGTGTGGCCAGCCTGGGTGAGGGGCTGAGGGCCATTTTGAGGCTGCTCACAGCCCCTTCAGGGTGAGGGGCTGATGGCTGTTTGCAGAATGGCCACAGCCCCTTCAGGGTGCGGGGGTCCTGCTGGGGTGCCTGGCCAGCCTGGGTGAGGGGCCGATGGCCGTTTTCAGGCTGGCCATGCCCCCTGGCGACCTAAGCTCCCAGCCTCTCCTTTTTTTTTTTTCAGCGCCTCCTTGAGCAGAGGCCAGGGTGGGCTGGAAGCAGGTATCTGGGATTTATTTATCTTCTATAATTGAAACTTTGTGGCCTTGAGCGGAGCCCAGGGCCGGCCAGAGCAGGCGGGAAGCTTGGCTTCCTCCATTACCAGGGGCAACCCAAGCCTCCTGCTCACTCCAACTCCGTGGCCACTGCCATCTTAATTGGGTTAATTTGCATACTCGCTCCTGATTGGCTGGTGGGTGTAGGGGAGTGGTAGAGTGATGGTTAATTTGCATCTTTCTCTTTTATTAGTGTAGATAGATCTGTAATCTACCTGGAAGTATGAAGTAAGGTCAAGGTCTACATTTAGTTCTTTTCTTTCATGTGAATAACCAATAATCTTAGCAACATTTACTGCATAGTCCATGCTTAATCCATGGACTTGTAATGCCACATCTGAGCTTCCTATTCCATTCTGGTCTATTCCTCTATATATGTGTCCATACTAATCACTACAACAAAAACCCAGGCCCTCATGTGCATGCCCGCCTCCCCCCACCCACACATTCTCCCTACTCAGGAATATTTTGCTTCTTCATAGACATTTGTTTGCAAATGAAATTTAGAATGAGTTGCAACAAGGTGGAGAGGTGTATAGTAAATAGAAATGCAGCAAATTTTATAGACTAATGTGGACACTTATAAAATTAAGCCTACCAATGCAAGATCATAATGTAAAACTGCAGCATTTATTTGGGTCTTCTTTTATGTCCTTCAATTCTGATCTGAAATTTTTCTTAAAATCTTACAAACTTTAATAGGCATCTTCTTAGTCATGGTTCTTCATGTAGCTGTTGCCACTGTTAATGAAAAAGGGATCTTTATTCCTATAACATTTTAAAACTACTTACTAGAAAAATGAGTAGTCTTTATGTTGATTATATACTCAGCAACTGAACTATTATAAGTTTTGAGATTGTAGAGTCTCTTGATTTTTCTAACAATTAAAAACAAAACACAAAAAACAATTGCATCTTTCTTTTCAATTCTATTACAGGTATCCCCCACTCTCCAAAAGTTCATAGTGTGCCTTCTTTCCTTTTACAAAAGAACTACCTGAGTACACCTATTTTCACTAGCAGAAAAAATATCTGAAGAGGACTTTTGCTTTATGAAAAAAATGTCACATGCTGCACTTTTCGTCATTTTGGCTTACAAAAGTTTTCATAGGAATACTCTACTTTCCAATAGCAAGAGAAATCACTTTTTCTTTTTCTTTTCTTATTTTATTATTGAACAGAAGCAGTGATAGAGAATTTATAATCTAGTTCCTAACTCTAATAGGAAAGTTTCTGTAATTTCACCTTGAAATATGAGATTTCCCATAGATTATCTGATAAACAATCTTTAGCATGATGTAATATATCATTACATCTGAAGTAATTTTCTTGTAAAAGCATATAGTTGGATCATGGGTTTTTGCCCATTCTGAAAATCTTTTAATAGGTTTATTCAGAACATTTACATTTAATAATTATTTATGTAAGGATTAAGCCTGTCATTTTACTGTTTTCTGTTCTGTTTACATGCCTATTTCTCTATTCCTGCCTTCTTGTGGCCTACTACCACTTTTTAATTCTCACTCAATTATATGTGTGTTTTTTGCATTGATTTTAGAGGTGCCCTGACAGGGGATGAAACCCACAACCTGGGTATGTGCCCTCATTGGGAACTGAACCTGAAACCTTTTTGGTATTATGGAGTGACACTCCAACCAACTGAGCAACCCCGCCAGAGCCTACCATATTTTAATTTATCATACAGATATTCCCTGACTTACAATGTGGGGTTATGTGCCAAAAAACCCATCATACGTTATAAATATTGTTAAATCAAAAATGCATTTAACACAACTGACATACTGATCATTATAGCATAGCCAAGCCTACCTTAAACGTCCTCAACAAAATATCCAAAAAACACTAGCAACACAGTGCACTGTAGAGTGTCCGTTGTTTACTCCATAATGACATGCCTGACTGGGAGCTACGCTTCCCTGCCAGTGCCTAGCATCATGAGAAAGCATTGCATGTTTATCTCTAGCCAAGGAAATGATCAAAACTCAAAATTTGAAGTGCAGTTTCTCCTGAATGCCAACCACTTTCACACCATCATAAAGTCAAACAGCCGTAAATCAAATCATCATAAGTGAGGACCGTCTATAGTTTCTTGAGTGTATCTCTTGTTATTTTTAGTGCTTGCTCTAGGAATTACAATTTACATACTTAACATAACGGTATACTAGTATCAATATTTTACTACTTCAAGTGGAATGTAAAAACCTTAAAAAAATTTACACTAAATTATTCTCCTCGCCTTTATGATATAGTTGGTCTTAAACATCTCTATATTCAAGTGCTACTTCAGAAATATTGTAATTTCCCTTTTGAATGTCAAACATGATTTTTTAAAATTTCTCTTTATTGCTGAAAGTATTAGAAGTTCCTTTTCCCCCCACTTAGCTCCTCCACCCCTCCCCCAGGCCTTCACGAAGCTACTGTGTGTGTCCATGGGTTATGCACATTTGCATATAAGTTCTTTGGTTAATCTCTTCCTGCAGCTCCTCCCCCTTCCCTCTGAGATTCATCAGTCTATTCCATGCTTCCATGTCTCTAGATGTATTTTTTTCAGTATGCTTTGTTCACTAGATTCCACATATAAGTTAGGTCATGTGATATGTGTCTTTCTGTGACTGGTTTATTTTAATACTTTTTTTTTCCTGCAAAGGGCTTTATTGTTGCATTTGGTCCAATGCATGGGAGAGGGACCCAGGGTGGTTAAAAGAATGGCTAGCAGTTTCGGGAAGAGGCTCAGGTAAAAGCCAGTGACACCAGGGGGATGCAGAGGGGCCTCTGAAAGGCTTCTGGGCTCCAAAGGCACCTAGTCGTGCTTGAGGGTGAGCCTTTCGAAGAGATACTCACCCAGTCCAGCCTGGGGGACAGCCAGCCTGCAGATATTAGTCAGGTGGTCACCCATCTTCTTAATCAGTTTCACTTGTTCATCCAGGAAGTGGTTCTCCAGGAAGTTGCAGAGATGAGGGTCTGCACGGGTAGGACCCAGGGCATGCAGCTCCAAAAGGGCCTGGTTCAGGTTCTTCTCCAGGGCCAGGGTGGCTTCCATGGTGTCCTGAGTTTTGCCCCAGTCATCTTGGGAAGGTTTCTGCACATCCTGGAAGAGAATGCAGCCGCCACGCTTGTTTTGCAACTTTTAGGAGATGCTCAGCGCCCTTGCACTTCTGCTCCGCCAACTCGCAGAAGTGGCCCACACCCTCCACACGGTTGAAATAGTAGCCCAGAGAGAGGTAGGTGTAGGAGGCCTGCAGTTGCAGGTTGGCCAGGTGATTGACCATAGCCTCCTCCTTGGTGGAATAATTCTGACGAATTTGGGAGTTCATGGTTCTTCAGCAACAAGGAGCTAAGGTAGAAACAAAATGGTGTCTTGGCTGGTCCCGGAGGTGGTTCTGAAGGTGGTGACTGGATGAGAAACAGGAGAGTGGTCGGAGGCTGGAAGATGGGCATCCCTGGGTTTGTTCCGTCCAAACATTGTTGAAGCAAGAGGCAGATTCGGGGCCTCCGAGTGCACAGCCTAACATAATACTCTTTAGGTCCCTCCATGGTGTCTCAAAGGGTAAGAGATCCTTCTTTTTTACAGCTGCGTAGTATTCCACTGTGTAAATGTACCACAGGTATTTTATATACTCATCTACTGATGGGCACTTGGTCTGTTTCCACATCTTAGCTATTGTAAATCGTGCTGCTATGAACATAGGGGTGCATATATTCTTTCTGATTGGTGTTTCAGGCTTCTCAGGATATGTCCCTAGAAGTGAGATCATTGGGTCAAATAGCAGTTCCATTTTTAATTTTTTGAGGAAACTCCATACTGTTCTCCACAGTGGACGCACCAGTTTACATTCCCACCAGCAGTGCACAAGGGTTTCTTTTTCTCCACATCCTCGCCACGATTTATCGTTTGTTGATGATAACCATTCTGGTAGCTGTGCTATCTCACTGTAGTTTTAATCTCCATCTCTCTGATGATTGGTGACTTTGAGCATTTTTTCATATGTTCCATGCCCACCTGTATGTGCTTTTTGAAGAAGTGTCTATTCAGGTCCTTTGCCCATTTTTAAATTGGATTGTCTGTCTTCCTTCTATTAAGTTGTATGAGGTTTTTATTAACCTCTTATCAGATGTATCATTGGAAAATATGTTCTCCCATATAGTTGGCTCCCTTTTCATTGTGTTGATGGTTTCTTTTGCTGTGCAGAAGCTTTTTAGTTTGATGTATTCCCATTTGTTTTTTTCCTGTTTCCCTTGCTCTAGGGCAGCGGTTCTCAACCTGTGGGTCATGACCCCTTTAGCTGTCGAACAACCCTTTCACAGGGGTCGCCTAAGACCATCCTGCATATCAGATATTTACATTACGATTCATAACAGTAGCAACATTACAGTTATGAAGTAGCAACAAAAATAATTTTATGGTTGGGTCACAACATGAGGAACTGTATTTAAAGGGCCAGAAGGTTGAGAATCACTGCTCTAGGGGATGTATTGACAAATATATTGCTACAAAAGATATCTGAGATTCGGTGCTTATGGTTTCTTCTAGGATTTTTATAGTTTCACCACTTACATTTAAGTCTAAAAATATGGAACTCTTCACAAGTTTGTGTGTCATCCTTACCCAGGGTCCATGCTAGCTAAACTTCTCTGTATTGTTCCAGTTTTAGTATATGTGGTGCTGAAGTGAGCACTCAAGTAATTTTGAAAGCTCACGACTAAAATCTCCTCAGACAGTCACCCTTCCCCGTTATTTCTTCATTCCTAATGTTCCAAGTATTCCTCAGTTATCATTTCCTTTCTATTTGAAGAAATTTTTGTGAAAAAAGACTGTTGGTGATAAATCTCTTAAGTTAATTTCATCTGAAAATATCTTTATTTTACTTTCATTCCTTAAGGATATTTTTGCTGGATATACAATTATGGGTTAACAGTTGTTTTCTTTTAACATATGAAAAATATTTCACCACTTCCTTCTGGCTTCATGGTTTCTAAGAAGACATCTACCACCATTCAAATCATTATTAACCTACTAGAGGCCCGGTGCACAAAAATTTGTGCACTGGGGGGTGGAGTCCCTCAGCCTGGCCTGCCCCTCACACAGTCTGGGAGCCCTCAGGGGATGTCTTACTGATGGCTTAGGCCCGCTCCCTGCCTAAGTCGCAGTCTGGCCTACCTCTGCAGGAAGCAACCAGGCCGATCATGGGAAGGCGCTGCCCCAATCACCCCATTGCTGGCTACCACAGCTGCCAGCCCTCGGCCCTCGCTTCTTAGCATTGGCCCCACCCCCCGCCTACGGGTGGATGGGGGGCGTTCTGGCACCAGACCAGCTGGGGGAGGGGCTGTGGGAGGTTGAGGCACACCAGGTCGCATCCTGTCTAGCTTCTGTGGAGGCGAGACACCGGGACCGGGCCTGTACCGCTGCCTCTGTGGAAGGGGTAGCACTGGGACTGGGACCACGCAGCCCCCTCCCCTGTGGCCTCTCCCGCACCCCTGCCACAAAAGGGGCCGCAGCGCTGGACCAGCCCACACCAAGGCCTCTCCCGTGCTGCCTCTGTGAAAGGGGTGGTGGCAGTGGCAGCAACAGGGGCACTGCCTCCTCTCCCATGGCAGCAGGGGCAGCGGCGGTACCTCTCCAGTGGCCTCTACGAAAGGGGCCGCGCTGACCTGCCTCTCCTGCGCTGCCCCGCCTCTCCCACGCTCCTCAGCCCTCGCAGCCACTTTGGATTTGTCCAGATGGACGTCCAGAAGACGTCTGGTCTAATTAGCATATTACCCTTTTATTAGTATAGATAATAAATGTGTTGTTTCATTGAGCTGCTTTCAAGATTGGGTGAATGGGACTGGGTCAGGGTCCTTAGTTTTCAGAAATGTAATTACGTGTTTAGATGTGGATTTCTTCGAGTCTGTCCTTTTTAGAGTTTACTTTGCTTCTTAAATCTGTTGGTTTCACTTTTTCCAAATTTGGAACATTTTCAAACATTATTTCTTCAAATATTTTTCAGCCTTGCACTCTCCTTCTGGAACTCCAATGAAACAAATGTTAGATCTTTTGCACTTTCCCACAGATCTGTGGCTTTGTTTATTTAGAAAACAAAACAAAACCTATTTATTCTTCCTAGGACCAGTAAACTGGCCTGGCATGTTTTTCCCAGGGCAATGGGAGAGGTGAAAGAGCAAGCCCTGGTACTCAAGCCTGTCTCAATATTATGCTATGTGACACAGCTGCTCACATTCCATCAGTGAAAGCAAGTCACGTGACTGAACTCAGTAAAGGACAGGATAATACATCCCATCCACTTTGTAGTGGGAGGCCACTACAAAGGTACATGGTAAAGAGCACTAAAAAAGAGTGGGGAAAAAATGGCCTCAATGTCTCAATGATGTAATCTACCCTAGCAGGTAATCTGATCTTTTACCCCTGATGGCTTTTAAGATTGTTTATACTGAAGTTTTGCAGATCCAGTAAACTTTGTTAATACGTGGACTTACTTTTACCTTCCTTTAGTTTTAGAAAATTCGAAGAAGTTATATTTTTAATATTATTTCTCTACCATTTTCCTCCATTCTCTCCTTTTGGAATTCCTAGTATGAGTATAGAAAACTCTACCCATCTTCTATTTCCCTTAACTATGTATGCATTACTATTTGTTATCTTCCTATCTCTCTTCTATAGTTTATGCTATCCACTGTACTTTTTATTTCAATTACAATCTTTTTATCTCAAAGATTTCTAATTGCACATTCTTTATTGTATTCACCTGTTCATGTTAACATTTGTTTTGAGTTTGAAATTCCTTGTTCTTTTAAAACAAAAGCTTTCATTTAAGTTTCTGAACACCCAAACATATTCAAAGTCTTTATCATCTAAAGTGAGTACAATGACCTGATAATTGACTTTCTCATGTCTGTAACAGCATTAGAGTTATTCCTGTGTTTTATTTGGAATTCTGAGAACTCACTTTGAGTGAGATTTTTTCTCTTTCTTAATTTATCCTTCTTTATTTTTTCCTTCCAATACTTCCTCTCATCTACTTGTTTGTACTTCCCTTCACCTACAATCAATCTAGAACCATGTATATAATACATGTCTATACATATTCTATCTTACTTAGTTGTCAGATGAACATGTTTCTTCTTTCCAAATTTATAAACTCCTTGAGGGTAAAGACCAAGCGCTATGCATTTGTATCCATTGTAACATCTACACAGTACTGAGAGATGAAAACGTATTACAAAAAAGTTAAATTTCTAATATCTGTATTGAGGGTAACAAATCTCTGACAGAACTTAAGACTTACTTTCAGTGTTAAAAATCTTAGGGTACAGAATTTAATCTGCAGTCTTTATTACTGTACAGTAATAAGTCATTAAATAGTGATCCTAAAACATTTCCCCTTATTTACTTACTAGAGGTCCGAAGCACGAAATTTGTGAAAGAGTAGGCCTTCCTTCCCCCAGCTGCCGGCACCGGCTTCCCAATGGCACCCAGGACTGAAGCTACCCAGCGGCCGCCAGCAGACACCTGGGACCCAGGGTTCCCTCACAGCCCCAGCTTCATCCAGAAAGTCGTCCAGAAGGACACCCAGTCTAATTAACATATTGCTCTTTTATTATTATAGACTAGAGGCCAGTGTTCAAAACTTTGTGCACTCGGAGGGGTCCCTCAGCCTGGCCTGTGCCCTCTCGCAGTCTGTGGCCCCTCGGGAAATGACCACCTGCTGGCTTAGGCCTGCTCCCCGGGGGGATTGGGCCTAAGCTGGCAGTCAGACATCCCTCTGGCAGCCCCGGGAGCCCTCAGGGGATGTCTACTTGCCAGCGGGGAGCAGGCCTAGAGGCAGTCGGACATCCTTAGTGCTACTGAGGAGGCGGGAGAGGTTCCCACCACCACCACTGTGCTGGCAGCTGGCAGCCTGGCTTGTGGCTGAGCACAGCTTCCCCTGTGGGAGCACACTGACCACCAGGGGGCAGCTCCTGCATTGAGCGTCTGCCCCTGGTGGTCAGTGTGTATCATAGTGACCAGTGATTCCCAGTCATTCTGCTGTTAGGGTAATTGCATATTACCCTTTTGTTATATAGGATAGAGGCCTGGTGCATGCATGGGTGGGGGCCAGCTGGTTTTCCCTGAAGGGTGTCCCGGATCAGGGTGGGGATCCCGCTGGGGTGCCTGGCCAGCCTGGGTGAGGGGCTGAGGGTTGTTTTCAGGCTGACCAAATCCCCTTCAGGGAGGGGGGTCCTGCTGGGGTGCCTGGCCAGCCTGGGTAAGGGGCTGATGGCTGTTTGCAGGTTGGCCACAGCCCCTTCAGGGTGGGAGTCCCCGCTGGGGTTCCTGGGCAACCTGGGTGAGGGGCTGATGGCTATTTGCAGGCTGGCCACAACCCCTTCAGGGTGGGGGTCCTGCTGGGGTGCCTGGCCATTCCGGGTGTGGGGCTGATGGCTCTTTACAGGCTGGCCACACCCCCCAGCGGTGACCCTCACCCCATGAAGGTGTGGCCATCCTGGGTGAGGGGCTGATGGCTGTTTGCAGGCTGGCCACGGCCCCCAGCCACCCAAGCTTTTAGTGGAGATTGGCTGGAAGCAGGTATCTGGGATTTATTTGTCTTCTATAATTGAAACTTTGTTGCCTTGAGCGGAGGCCACAGCCGGCCAGAACAGGCAGGAAGATTGGCTTCCTCCATCACCGGGACAACCAAGCCTCCTGCTTGCTCCCACTCCGTGGCTGCCGGCCGCCATCTTGGTTGGGTTAATTTGCGTATAGTTGCTCTGATTGGCTGGTGGGCGTGGCTTGGGGCATAGTGGACGTGCGGTCAATTTGTATGTTTCTCTTTTATTAGATTAGACCAGTGGCCCAGTGCATGAAATTCATGCATGGGTCGGGGGGGTGTCCCTCAGCCCCACCTGCACCCTCTACAATCTGGGACCTTCTCATAATCTGGGACCACTGGCTCCTAACCGCTCACCTACCTGCCTGCCTGATCGCCCCTAACCACTCTGCCTGCCAGCCTGCTTGCCCCCAACTGCCCCCCCACTGACCTTCTCACCCCCAACTGCCCCCCCACTGGCCTGCTCGCCTCCAACTGCCCCCTCCCCGCTGGCTTGCTCAGCCCCAACTGCCCCCGCTGTTGGCATGCTCACAGCCAACTGCCCCCCATTGCCAGCCTGCTTGCCCCCAATTGCCCCCTCCGCCAGCCTGCTTGCTACCAACTCACCCCCCCAGCTTTCTTTCATGAATGATAGAGTATCATGGGCTGCCTCCTGCACGCCCACTACTGGAGATCGAGCCCACAACCTGGGCATGTGTCCTTGACCAGAAATGAACTCAGGACCCTGCAGTCTGCAGGCTGATGCACTATCCACTGACCCAAACCTGCAGGGCACCACCAGTCACTTTTAGAACGTTGTATTGCTTCTAGAAGAAACCCTGTGCCACCTTCCCCATCTAGCTGCCTGCCCCACCCAGCCATCTGCACACTGCTGTTTCAGACATTTCATGGGAATGCGACCATACACAATGGGTGTTTGTGACGGGCTGCCTCACTTGGGTGTATACCTCGGAGTGGCGGGTTGCAGGGTCCTATGTGACTAATATTAATCATTATAGGAGCGGCCACACCATTTCCATTATGACAGCAGTGTATGAGGGCTCAGATTTGTCCACATCCTCACCAACACTTGCTATCATGTAACTTTTGGT